TTGGGGCGAACTGGTGGTAGATTCCTGCCACTCGTGCAGTTCTGTTCAAGTTGTTCCGTCGAGCCAGTGTGGTGGGAATGGAATGTTTTTGGTGGCCTACGGTCTGCACCCGAATAGAACGCCCGGTCATTATAGCTGCATTTGGCCCAACTTGCAGTCCAGATGCAGCGATAACGACTCGGCGTCGAATTCGAGTGAAGATGGTGGCCAGCCTTCTGGGTTGGGTAGTCCGAGCCCGTGGCCCGTTGGAGCAAAACAGCTGGGAAAGTTAACAACGGACTCGTTTTGCGGCTGGTGCAAAGCAGGGGTGTCCTTCTGGACCATGCAGCCGTGCTGCCTTGTGTTTTTGGAGGTGTGCCCCCAGCACATGGCTGACAACCCGCATGTTGGCCGTGCCCATGTTTCAGCGCCTTATTCCGCCAAAACTGCAAACTTTGACTTGACGTCGATGCGTGTTCGAGTGCTGGACATGTCATGCCCAGGACCATGTCCACAGATGTTAGGACAAGGTGGGGCATTTGAGAACTGCGCTATGGAGGGGGCAGCTTTGGCCACTGGGACATGCACCTTCCCTGCATCTGGGAAACCTCTCAGGCGGAAAGGGAGGTGCCTGCTAGCTTCGGCACCATGGTAGTGGACGTGGCACGGCATCCAGAAGTTGCCACGCACGAGTTTTGTTTTGTAGGACACACGCTGGATGGAGATGGAGGAGAATGCGCTGAGATCATTGGTTGTGCCAACTTGAAGGTGCAGGATGCACAATTGATGATGGCTATGGAGACGACCCGGGATTCTACCAAGGGTCATGCCACCCTGGTGGGTGAAGCAGAGCAAAGTGGAGGCACATTGGCAGATCGGAGGGCAGCGGGAGATTACTTCCAGGCACTGGCAGGCAGTGGACAGAAGGTTAGTACCACGACAAGCCCAATAGTGCATACAACGGGGCTGATTTTGACATCGTGGCGGAATGGAGCCTCTTCTTGCAATGCGAACCGACACACTATCGGCGATCTCTCCAACCGGATCAGACTGCTTTGTACCTCAATGAAGTTCAATCCAGAGCTTGTTTCTCGTCAGTAAGTAAAATCGTCAGGGAGCAAGAACTCACACACCCGGGCTTGCTGGTGTATCTGCAAGGACTCCCGCAAGCGGCGCTAGGGTAATTAGTGAACAATTGCGAACGATTTTAAATGCCTTGCAGTCAAAAGCGTTTAGTGCAGTGTGTTCTGAAGATAACTCATCAGTGTGTGTGATCGTCTATAATGTCCTCGTTTGGCAAGGTCGTTTGGCAAGGTTGCTACCGTCTTCCCCGAACACAACGCACCCTCATTCCGACTGTATCTGGCCGAAAACAGACCTTGTATACGTTCCTTTTCAGGGTGCGTTATGTTCGGGGGAAGGCGGTAGTAGTAGGGTTTGGATGGACGGCTGTGTCGTGGGCTATCTGGGTCAGGTGGTATATGTACTACAGTCTTCCCCCGAATACAACGCGGGGTCATTAAAGGCTGAATTTGGGCTATCTTTCGGTCTAAATTCAGCTATAATGACCATGTTTTGTATTCGGGGGAAGACTGTAGGCTATAGAAGGGGCCGTTGAACCAATCCAGTTAGTTCAGAACTTAGTCAAATTGCCAGTATGGTGGACGCTTTTCTTTCTTTTTTTCTTATTTTTTTTTTAATTGGGACAAAGCTCCAGTCTATTCGTGGGGAGCAGCACGTGCTGGGAACCGGGCCCAGCGTCCCATTCAAGAACATATTAAGAAACATATGCAAAACAATTTGAGATACCGGGGCCATTACCCTGCTTTGGCTAGGAATGATAGCTATGCACTTCAAACAGCAAGAGGCTGTGAAGAGACTGCAAATCTACTGAAGAAAGCTTGGATTCTACTATTGTAAAAAAACTTACCTATAGATCCACCAACCAAGGACACCAGCAAAAAGAAAACAGGACTCCTCGTTCTGCCCACAATCCATTTGACAAGTAGGTTGCAAAAACTTCATTTTTTTTTGTGCCTGAACAAGTTGAATCGGTCACCCCCAGTCCCGGTACGTGGAAAGCTCGGGACCTGTGCATCAAGAGCTCGGCCTCCTTGTCTACTGGTGTCGAGGGGGCTTGTGCTGGCAGTTAAAGAATTTGTGGAGCTGGATCTTTGCAAACAATGGACTGTGGCTAGACGGAATGGGAAAGCTATCTGGACTTCGTTTAACCTCCTAGTTAGGGCCCAGCTGCAAATGGGACGCTGGACCCGCTTTCCAGCAGGTGATGCTCCCCACTAATAGATGGAGCCTGTCCCCAGGTGCTAGGGGTGTCTGCTCTTATCAGCATCGCTAGCACTGGAGGGATCTGTGTTTTTCAAAAAAAAAAAAAGAAAAAAAAAAGGGCCCAGCTGCCGATTGATTGCTTTACTGCATGGCTCTCAGGGCTAGCCAGCGTGGGCTTTGGGGGAGGGTGGAAAAGGAGGAGGACGAGAGTCACAGACCTTTCATCACCCTTTATGGCGGGGCCAGAGAGGAGAAACTGGGTCCGATCCTCCTCATGATGGAGTTTCCCGAACCCGTTTCTCCTGTGGAACACGCTCCGGCGGCCCGGTGGCGGGGCCCGGGTGTTTTGTTGTATGGATTGAAAGATTGCAGTGAGGGTTTGTGGTGTTTGAGTTTGGCATGGGTGGGGGAGGCTTTGGACTCCACAGTTCTTGCAATCCGCCGCCTTTGGTTTAAAGGTGAAGGCTCCTGAAAGGGATTCTAGCCTCAGAATTGGTTCTAGCAGAAGCTGGGTAATGGTCCCAGTGGAATTACACCTCGGTAGAATTGCGAGGCCCCAGACACCAATTCATGAATGAAGTTTCATGAAGTTAAACAAAAGCTGTTTGTTTGTTTGCTTATTTAAAATCATTTCATTATTATTCTTTCGAAATGGGTTTGATAGGCCACCACTAGCATAATGATTGTCAATAAAGGAATTACGGATTTCTTTTGATTTTTGAATTTTTTTATTTGTTTTCCTTAAGATGGCCGGTAAGTCCTCTTTAGAACAGAATATATTTGTTTCATGCCATAGGTGTGTGCACCTGTTTGGCTAAAAAAGCTAAAGAACGACGATTTTTGATACAGGTTTTTACCTTTAGTTTCTGACTTTCCGACGATCAATAGCAAACATTTGCTTTTAACCTAAAAAAATGAAATTGGGCAGGTCGGAGAACACGTATAGAAAGTATGGGTAGAGATTCAGTTTGATGAGAAAACTCATCATACTACTATGCCCCTCCATGCTGGGATCGTCATGTGCTGAGTTCCTTTTCAGTTTAAAATTTCTCCATGTTTTGATTATCATGAACTTACTTCCTTTTTGCATTTCGGGCATTTTCTACATCGTATCAGGGTATTGCTTTTTGTTTTTCGCTATTTAATCGCCGGTAGGAGTGACGATCTCTCATCAATGACTGTCTGATAGGCATGCTGCTCAGGCCACTGCGTACCTCTACTTGCCGAACTTCATTCAGAATAGGTCAGCCCAGTAGCTTGGTAGCTTGCTAGCTTGCTGTTGTCACAACTGCATGATTGGTCGCATGAACAAGACTTAGTTCAATGTTCAGGGACGCTGGACCCGATTTCCAGCAGGTGCTGGTCCCGACCAATAGATGGAGCCTTGCCGGCGATGCTAGCGGTGTCTGCTCTTACCAGCACCCTTAGCCTCTTCTTGGCTATTCTTCAAAAAAAAAAAAAAAAAAAAAAAAGGAGTGACGCGCGGTGTGTACAAAGGGCAGGGAAGTAATCAGCCTGAGCTGATGCCCCACACTTACATGCATTTTGATGCATTTTGGAAAACTTAGCACATGCTCACCTGCATGCATTTTGAAAAACTTCACACATACCCACAATGAAGAATGTTTAATAAGAGAGTCAATGCTGCCAGGTGCGGGATTTGAACCTCGCACCACCGCAAGAAGCTATAGGAAATGTCATACATTAACAATATGCATGGCATGCAAGCCGTGTTACATGTCATGGAGGATGCATAATCCACATGACGTCGAGAACGGTCTCTCACTATCTTAAGCGTCTTCCTTATGCCTTGTCCAGTCAAGCTGAGCCTCTGCTGTGTATGCTGTCTCTTGTAAACCACCACTACCTTTTCCCATGTGGGCCGCCATCGGGCCCCCGAATCTTCAGGTGGCGGAAACAAAACGACAACCGCAGATGAGATTTATCAACGGCGGCTGTCGTTGGGCCCGGCCTCCGATATTTTAGCGTGAGGATATTTTCCTGTTTTCCCTACAGCAGGAAAGGTAGTGGTGGCTTAAGAAATATCATGTGTATGTGTATATAGTTGATGGATCTTTGTTTTTTTTTTCCTGTTTCTTTAAACAGAAGACAATTGCTCAAATCTCTTTGTGGAGAGCTGCACCTCCGTGAACCTTCCTAGGTTCATTGATGGCTTAAGTGGACTTTGAGGCTTGAACTCTGAAGCCGATTCAATCAAGAGTTCAATGACGATCCATGAGCATATTGTAACAGCTTGTATTGGAGCAAAGTGTGCGTGCTGATCGAAAACGAGTCTAATCGTGCACACCATCATTGCACCAAAGCCCCCCGCCATAAAGGGATACTGTACACCATTGCAGGGTGGTGCTGCTGGGCTCTTCTTCCCTAATTCTGCCAGCACTGTGCGCAGCACTGGCGGTAATAGCGCCTGCATTGCAGAGAGGCAGGGGAAATGAAAAGATACTGTCTTCACCCGAATAGATCGCCCGGTCATTGTAGCCATATTTGGGGAACTTTTCAGTCCAGATACAGCTATAATGACTGGGCATTCTATTCGGGTGACGACAGTAGTGTGCATTAGGCAGATAGCTAGTCTCATCCTTTTCCTGCGGATTATGATATCTTCATCTGAACAGGAATCCGTGTAGAAACTGTAAGTGCCTCATTGACAGACAGACAGACGGACAGATAGACAGGCGAACAAATCGAGCATGGGATTCAGAAGAAAGAAGATTGAAAAGATGGAAAATTGGGCAGCGAGCCCTAAACAGAATTTCTAAGAGAAACTTGAACAAGAGGCAGAAAATCTGGAGACAAAGTATAAGAAAGAGCTGAGTAAACTCAAGTGCCCGCGCCATCGGTAAGCGTTATAATGCAGCGCTGCGCTAAGTAGCACTAGCGCCCGGTTTCAGGCCCGCTGGGCCAACGCCCACACCACGGTCTCGCCCACGCGGGTCCATCGAAGCTGTTTCCCGCCTTCCCACCAGACTTTCGCCGCGCGAATTCGTCCCCGTGTTTTCGCCCGAGCGATCTCGCCCCCGCAAATTCGCCCTCACGAACTCCGGATCAGGGAGGCAAGCTCCGTGCTCAGTGGAGAAGCTCCCTCCACCATTCATGCACCCTATTGTCTTTTTCCCGCAACGTTCTGTTCGGGATGAAAAAGGGCATGTCGACTTGTCATGTGCCGAGGTGATGCTTGTGACTTGCCTGCCCGGTTCAATACGGGACTTGGCAAGGCGTGCGCTAGTTCAGAACGAGCTGGCAGCAGGATTGGAGAGAGGAGCTCGGGCAGATCCGTGCAGAGCCCCTGATGGTAGGACGATCGACTCGTGCAGGGCGGTGGAAAGGTGGTTCGTAAAGGTTGCAGCGGGTGACGGCGGG